CTCTACAACGTTTGGCGATGAATGCAAGTGGATATCCGTCCGCGTACAGATCATCCTTTAGGAGGTTAATTTCGTCGTTTAGAGAGTCCTCTGAGCATAGTTCACGCGCTCGATGAAAGAGTGTGCGAACGAGACCAATTTTGTATCGCACGGGGACGAAACTCGTGAAGTGCAAATATTGCCCAGACCAAGTGTTCTTCCGGAAGATAGATCTTTTAATTGATCCATCTGGTCGACGAATAATGTTTATATCTAGAAACTCGATGCGATCGTCCTGTTCATCGTGACGAGTTAGCTTGATGTTGGGGTGAATGCTGTTGAGTCGATTAAATAGGTTTTCCCCGTCTTCCTTCGTCTGGCTTATAACGAAAACGTCATCAACGTAACGACAGTATAAATCTAGTTTTGAAATATCTTCTTCAAGCTTTCCTTCTAGGTGACCAAGAAAAATATCCGCGAGAATCGGCCCCAGCGGACTTCCCATGGCGACACCATCTATCTGTCGATATCCTTGTCCGAGGAAGGAGAATTTAACGTTTGACGTGCATAAAAGTAGCAGTCGTGACAATTCACTGACAGGTAACCCGACCTGCAATTTCNTTTCTTCAATCGTCTTACAAATAATCCCGATGGTCTCATGCAACGGAACATTTGTGAATAGGGATTTGACATCCATTGTAAACATCTGTTTTCGTTGGATATTTCTCTGGGTCAGATGTTTACTCATCTCAAATCTGTCTTTGACACTACCTCGAGAAACGGAATCTCTCACCGGTACCAGAACCTTCGCTAACCACTTTGCCAGTGCATGTTGGGGTGAATTGATCATGCTCAGAATGGGTCGTAATGGAACGTCTTCTTTATGCAGCTTCGGTAAACCGTACATCTGTGGTGTTTGTGTTCCCCTCGGGCGCAAACATTTTGCCAGTGATTCTTGTATAAGGTTCGCCTGTGTTAGAGTTTTCAATTCCGCACAAATTTTCTTCTCTAGTTCACTTGGATCGTCTGGAGTATTGTCAGGTTTAAACTTGGTTTCGTCCCGTAAGATACGCGCTCCTGAGTGTTTGAGTGATGCACTTTTAACTTGTGAATCACGTGTTAAACTTGATCCGTCACTCGTGTTTGCCGACACTGGCCATAACGAATGTAGCAATCGATTTGAACATTCACTGGCAACCACAAAAGCGAACCAACTAATAGATGTGTGGGGAGCTATTATCACACATTTTTTCACCAGAAAATCATAGATTGCACAGCGAGCAATCATTTTGGAATATCAGAAAGAAGTTAATGTATCGACTATACTCCATAACGGATAATTTACTTATTTTAGATGACGTGATTTTCTTCAAATGCAATTTTTTCCTGTGTTCTCACTGTGTTCGATCTGGTTCATTCTTCGAATGTGGCAATATTAATATTGTGATTATTGTAGATAAAACAGTTATATATTATGTTGGGCGCCACATAATCAAGTCTGTGGTTTACCTAACATCGCAAAGGAATAGAGGAATATCTGGAATTAATATGCGCTAATTGGGTTAGAAGAAATTCCCCTGAATAAAGGTGGATAGTTTCGGGCTAGTTAGACATTTGAAACTGAAAAAGAGCTGAATGCCGGAAGCAATGTACTGATATTAAGCTGAGGGAATCATAAAAGATTTCAATTTCTTCGATACATAAAGAATACGCAGGACGGTATATCTAAATTTTGTTATGAATGAAAGGTACGTAATTATAAACATTGGGAACAAGCAAGTAAAGAACTTAACTTATTTTTCATCGATCCGGTTTATTTTGTCACAAAACTCCCAACCGATTTTTCACACTACTTACTAGCATCTGCCACTGACTAACATGCTCTGTCGCATTTCCACTTTTTCGAATTCCCGGTGGGTGTGACATAGCATACTGTGGTTTGTTTAGATTTAGTCTGCTCCCGTTTATTTTCTTCGGACACCGTTAGTCTAGTCCTTGCTTTATACATGTTTGGTTCACGAAGTGATTGAAGGAGAAGCTTGGTATTGCTAACAAATGAGCAAATTACCCGGAACCCAAACATACCACGAATGCCACGGGTCTCACCTCTGTTAGGGATAACACATAGGAATATGGTGACACGTCTAGTGCAGTAGGGCATCGGATTTGAACAGCGCAAGTTGATGTACTATCTGAATCGTTTTTTTCATTTGTTGCTTCAGTGCTTGACAAACACAGCCCAGCTTGAAACTCTGTTTCTTGTCTTGCTCTCACTCTCTCTGTTGCTATCCATCCACGAAAAACTTTTGCTCCAGTTCACAACTAATAGAGGTGAATCCTTACATACTGAGTTTGCCGGAAATTTTTGGCATTCTGGTATATCACTTTATGCGAAAGGATTTCACTTGAAATCCATTTCCACGGTATCGTTTTTCTTCCCTGTTCAAATTCCTATTGCATTTTTCATTCACGTGGTGCAGTAAATCACCCCCTGCCCCATATATGTGGCACNGTGTATAGTATATTTACAAGTTTCAAATTTCTGCTTTATTCTGTTCGACATTTTAGCCTCCACCAGATCCGGCAGACAACTACTTTCAAGTGGGTGACAAGCTTGAAGCGGTTGACCGACGCAATACACAACTTATCTGTCCGGCTACGGTAGGTGCCGTGAACGGTCAGCACGTTCTCGTTAGCTTCGACGGCTGGTCCGGCGCGTTTGACTACTGGACCCGATTCGACAGTCGGGAATTGTTCCCTGTAGGCTGGTGCAAACTAGCGGACTATCCGCTTCAGGCACCGGGCCCAAATGCGCTTCGTTCGCCTCCCAGTCATTCTACTCCCGGTCCTCTATCCAAAGCGGTTTTGGCTCCACCAGTCACCTCGGGTCACGCCTTCTCCCTGGATGTGTCCTCTGTGAATGAAACTCCCACCGGGCGAAAAGGATCCCGCGGTAAGGCCAAACCAGGGACAAGGAAAGGAATAGTTGCTACTTCCCGAGCTGCCTCGCAATCTCGACCACGTCGTATTCCTCGCTTGACACGAAAACGTCGCCGTAAACCGCATTTACTCCTCGGGTCCACTCAAAATCGAAATGGTACACCACATCCCGTTCGTGGTGATTTGAATCGTCCACTTGCTCTCACAATTCAGACAAGTTGGACGACGGATGCAGCCTCGTTAAACAACAGACCAGGCTCCGATACATCCCATCCACAAACTGAGTCCGCTGATTCCTCTATGCGCTCCCTGGGCTCTCCACCACCACCAATCATACACCCAATCACAATGGACGATGATGAGTACGTAGATGCGGATTCATTACTCAATGTCACTACCGGTTCGTCATCCTCTGATCCACCTCCACCCTCCATCGAGGCTGCCGTAACCGCCGTGAGCAGTTGCACTTCATTACCGACACACGGAGCAGATTTGTCCTCGAACACTTCCTCGACTAGTCGTGGTCGTCGAACAAGCAGTTCCTCTGATTGTGTTGTTCGACTACAGGCCAAATCTCCACCCACACTTCCATCCGGCGGTACTGGTGAACTGGGATCCAATCATCCGGAACTGAAATCATGGCAAGTGGTTACCACGGAACCCCGAGTCAAACCGAAAAAGAAATCGAAACCGGATAAAAAACACCGGGAACGTTCCCTCGCCGAATCCACTAACGGGTTGAAGAAAAAGTTCAAATTTATCAAGTTAGTATGCTCTATATTCTATCTTTTTCGGTTTCTCTTTTTCTCGCCATGGATTGGTTCCTAGAGCATGTACAAAATCTGAACTGTTACGACAGGTTTTTCCGTTTTCCGAATCGCTATCCGCATGGTTGAGCACAAATCAGATTAGATTATTTTGTGATTATAGACTACCTTCACTCGGACATCCTAACCATGGCCGTTTTTAGAACGGGAATCTTGACTGTAGGTTCGCGAGATACACTAAGACACAAGTTCGGTCACTAATGGCGTAACTGTGTTACAAATTCATAACCGCACAAAAGAACCTGATGATCACATCACGGTGGCGATAAACAGCTTTGCTGTCTTTCGGTTCAGCAGCCTTTTCCATAATTTGCTGGAGCGGCTTGTAGGTTGTCATCAATAATAATGATGATAGTCAGTTGTGTTTTTACTTTTTATTCAATAAATAGCATACAATGCAATACAATAGGTCAGTTTTCAAGAATGGAGCTGCGGCCAATTCAGGTTCGCTTGACAGTATGCAGAAGTAGAGAGACTAGTTGATAGAATTCAATAACACCTGATCAATGTAACGATCTAAACCGCTTTGTCATCACCTCCTCCCTCAGTCCCTCTACTCATTTTTGTGCATGACAATCGTCTGTTGAACTATCGTTTTGCCTTCTAACCACACGTGCGCACCCAATGATTTCGGTAATATAGATCATGTTTTTGGTTGCTGTCTTTAGTTGGTGGTGGCGTGGTGGTTTATTCGCTGTCGCCAGCGCTCTTTGGACTCTGTGGTCCGAGGTTCGAGCCCCGCAACCACCACTTAAGTTCGGTGGTAGGCGCCTTTTCTGTCATCTGGCCCAATGCCACCACGCCTTACCTATTGGGGCCTTATGTGGTTCACCACTCCAAGTCCCGGGGCTTAGGTTACCGGTTTCTACCACTGAATAACAGGTCCTCGTGACTATGGGGCTCGCCCCGTCAGCTATTCATCACACTTGGGTGTAATAAAAAAAAACAATTATCCTTTCAAATAGGAAAATTTTGGGTTCCACGCGCCGTAATTTGTACGTTCGTTTTTCAATGGCTACTTTCAGCCTTTTTCTACCTTTCTCCCGGTTGTTTTAAGAACAATAGCAAACTACTTGCTTTTTCTTTTAAAAATTGGTTCCTCATGTGCGGGAGAAACATATGAGCACCTGTGAAAACATTGCATACAGAATACGTCCAGTTTCCACCCATCATTCACCCGTTGACTTAACTTGTTCATTTTGTCTGTCTATCGAGAGGATCCACAGTTCCGTCATATTTAAGCACACATAAGTGGGTACTAATTTTCAACAGTTTCGTATTAGATTCTTATTTGGCAAAAACATGCGATTTCTTTTGGCAGTTTCTGTTCGATTGCTTTTTGTGTATTCCTTGTTCGTCTAATGGCTGATTCTTTTTTCCGGCCGAAATGTGGACCTATATTCGTATTTGTCACAACTATTCTCACAATACATGTAACATGCTGGCTGCGGATTAACCAGTACATCATTGAATGTGTACTTGCCTGCGTTTTGCTGTCATGCCTGGTTATCACTTTCTCCTTCGGTGCTCGACAAACATGACTCGGATGACCATCAGCACCACCAACTCTACGGCAAGCACACGGCTAGGAGCAAAGCTAAGCAACAAATGCTTTTCTCCACTAACATCATCCATTGCCCGAACTGTTTTTCCATCTCTTCAGACCGAGGTTGCCCTGGTTTTGCACCGGTCCGATTGCATCCAATTAGTACAGACGATTTTCAGCATGCGTTCACCTAGAGGTCCGATCACGTCACGTCTGTGATCAGTAAATGTTCATGAAAGTTTTCGCTGGTCATGCTTTTGTTATCCGACAATGGCCGCTGTTGTAACCAGTGTGTAAACACACACACACGTACACACATACAAACATGTATATATACATGACTGGATTGGTCTTGGCATAAACAACCCATGGGATCATGCGAACAGGTAGAAATAGAACTACAGAAGATGCAATTGTCCGAGCCACGCAGGTACGAGGAGGCAGCGTTCCATGACTTGACATTCAGTTCTGGGTAAGTTGTAGGGAGTATGAAAATTTACGGTTACGATTATGGCTCTAAACCCTGATTCCAAACCAACCAAGAGGAGGTGTACAAACCACAAACACATGCACCTTCTGGGTTTTAGCAGTGATCACCGGCTCGATTGGGCATCCAGGTGTATTGTGCACCTTGGATGTTTGACCTCGTCCAAAGAGCGTATGAGCCGATGAACTGGACACTAACTCCCAATGGATTTCACACCACCCCGCTGCCTTGCGGGTCAGGCTTTGGCTAGCCGAAGGCTCCTGTTGTGAATTCCCCCAAAAATTCACCTGTCTTGACCTGGGCAACCTGCCAGTATTCCGCCAACATGTAAATCATGGATTTTTTTCGAAGATCATTGTATCCTGGGCACGCACTCTGGCCTCAGATGTCTGTGGAATATGATATGATAATGATGGCCCATCTCAGTCTCCGAAATTTATTGTCGACAGAAAAGATGAGATGTACCTAAATGTTTCGTCGCGGTTATCAAGAAAATTCCGTCTTCCCTATTTGAAGCCGATTTCCTTAATAACAATCGACCCTTTTGTTTGTGGCGCCATCCTAGCTTAGGTGAAACAGCTTGGTTTCACGCCTATTAACTTATCGCTGCACTCTATGGTCAATTTCCAGGTTGGACTCAATCTTTTTAAGTGAAACTAAATAAAACAACTGATCTGAATATGCTGTCAAATGTTTCCCTTAACATCATGTGGCACTGTAAATTACACCGATCAAATTCATCTTCTTTCCTTTTTGCACCTCAAAAACACCACAATGATTATGGGATGCATGATGCATTTCATCTATCGTTTGCAATTCGGCACTCGAATCGACCGGGACTATCCAAACAACCCCGAGGGATGACGACGAAGTGGGCGGGGGCACTGACCAGCTTTGCGATAGATCTATTTACCGATACCGTATCTTGCTCGTCTACTCATAAAGAAAGAGCGAACAATAAGTAAACTTTGTCTTAACCTTGGATTATGAAATATTCCCATGCCTGTAAAAACTTTTCTCCCTGATTATGTACATGGTGACGGTTTGCGTGTATGATTTTTTAACTGAAATGTGAGCTCCAGTGCTCGCAAAAGTTATGCACAATACAATAGACTACTACAGCTGCGCTGTTTTGTCCTCCAGTGCATCTGTTGCCAGCGCACGTTGGTCTCATACGGCTACAATTTGGAATTTAGTTATCATAGGTCGAGGATACATCGAAAAGTGTTCATGTGTGTCTCTGTTTGTGTATGTGTTTTGCGCTGACGAAAAATTCCATCTCGTCAATTCTGGTCGTTTGGATCATTGTTGACGTAAACTGATGAATGACGAATCGTTTCGGATCACAGAAACAATGATACATGTTTACTGATAATTTAGAAGCACGTTTTATCACCGACATTTTTTGGGATACACATTTGTGTGATGACCAACAGAAGGGGTGGATCCGATAGTCTCGAAGACCTACTATTTAGTGACCCAAGCCTCGGCTTGGAATGGCCAGTCACATAAAGCCCCGCTAGGTTGGGCGTGGTCATATTGAACCAGACTACAGCAAAGCTGCCTACCAACAAAGTTTTGTGGTGGTGGCGGGGTTTGAACCATGTACCAAATGATGCAAAGCAGTCCACCGCCGCCCATAATGGAATTGACAGTGTCATTATTCCGTTTGACATTTGGGAACCTGGGACCCTTAGTCCTTGGTAGCTGATCTGTGCGGCATGTCAGCACATAGGGATCCAACGACTTATAGAATCATCACTGCTGATAGACAGTGGGATAGTTGTACTCAAGGGACGTTGGCTGCCCACTCGCTGTCGTGCAATTCGTTAATTCAAATCCCGCCTGCATTCCCCCCACTTGCCCATTTCTCTTTTCAGTCAGCTACTATTCCTTTCCTGGATCGTACCTGTGTTGTTATCAAGGAAATGTTTTGCCCATGTCTAAAATTCGTACCGTCATGTGTTTCCACGGTGAAGGAAACCGCATGAAGTGAAGTCAACTGACAGTTAGATTTTAGTAGTAGACAAATTTGCTGTCGTCCGGTTCCAAT